CAGCGTTTTCATATTCAGGTTTTGACTCCCTGTAAAGCGGGAAATTCAGAGAATCTTCTTTTATTGTCAAAAGAACACCTGTCTTCTTGAAATTTAGGCAGAAAGTTGAATACTTTTAGTATTATAAATATCCATTACGATTTTGAATAGATATTATTTTGCTAAAATCAACGGTATTGTATAGTAATATTAACTGATGACCACATTTTAAGCACAAATTATTGCTGCTCAAAATCATATCAAGGTACTCACACAACTTTCTTACTTCATTTGTATACATGAGTAAAATTCATTTGGCTCAGTATTAAAGGGAATAAAATTCACATTTGAATCGGAAAATGATCATGGAGAATTAACTATGTTGTTAGATTGTAAAATAAAAAGAACAGAAGTAGGTAAACTGCTCACAAGCGTTTATAAAAAACCAACGCACTCTAACAGACATTTAGACTTTAATTCATCTCATCTGTTGTCTGTAAAAGCAGGCTTAGTTAAGCGCCTAACAAACAGAGAAATAGCACTAAGTAGTACAACAAAAAATTTAAATGATGAAATGAAACAGATAGAAGACTAACTGGTTGGTGTTAAATAACTATCCTTTAAAGTTCATTAGTAAGATGAGAAAATATCAAAAGCAAAGTAAAAATAATGGTGAAACTAATTATGATAACATAGATAAGAGAAAATATAAGGCATCATATAAAAAGGGGACATCTGGGAACCTACGTAGGATTCTTAATAAAGAAGGAATTAGGGTGACATTAAACCTACAAACTCACTTAGAGACAGGTTCCGTAGGCTAAATGACCTTGTGGAACCAATTAAACAAAATAATATAATTTACAAAATACCTTGCGATGATTGTGAGTTAATTCAACTACATAGGTTAAACTAGTAGATCAGGAGTAATGAGATTATCAGAACATAAGAATTTAGCTAAGGTTAGAATGATTGATCCCACCCACGAAGATAAATAATTTAGCATCAGATTAATTTCCAAGTGTTAGTCTGTAGGGATCTAACATGTTCTAAGTCTGACCACGGACTAATCTGATACTTGCATATGACTGATTGCAGGATGAAGCAGCCTGGAGTCATGATCAGCAGGGTACACTCATTTAGGTGTGAGGACGAACAACCGGTCACGCTAAAATCACGACATGACAGAAATTAGAATTCCTGGACCACTAAGTCGGGTCCTAGTGGTTGAATGGTCTACAAAGATGCTTTGTAACCGGAAGATCCTGTGTTCGAAACCTGGCTGGTACGTACTCTCGATGAGTGTTAAACTAGGACGAAACAGCTGCCCAGTACTGTCTGTTATTTTCCAATGATTATCTAAATGATATTAATCTACCATAAAACTTGGAATAAAAATATTGGTTAATATATACACATATTACAGAATCCTCTATCACATAAGATCATAATAAATGTCAACATGAAAACCGCATGGTTGACTGAAAGCATAACATCAATGTAGCTTACTGGTCCACTGAATCAGAACAACTGTTAGTATGAAATATATCGGAGAACATGATACCTTTTCAAATTGCTCATATCATGCTATTTAGTCGTCATTCCACTGAAATCTTTACCCCGTTCAAACCTTGTGCGTTGTGGTGATCAAGTGAAGTAATTCTTAGAAAGGTCAGTTACAACAATCACCTGTTTTACACAGAACTATGAATTTTACCTTTATACAAAATTCTGAATATATTTTCAATTTAATTTCATCTTACAGATGCATATGGAGTAAATTATCAAATTTTCGTTATTTGGAACACTTTTCCAGGAGAGTTATCCATGCATTGGTGGTAAAGCGGTTAGGATGCTTGCCGACTATGCACATGGTCTGGAGTTCTATCCTCTGTCTACGCACCACTTGATATCAATGACCAGCCTGCAAAATTTGGGCTACCTATATCACATGCTGAAAATTCCATACTTGTACCAAAAATGCTGTGTGGAATCAAGCTGTAATAAAAAATAAATAAATAAATGAAAAGAGTAGAGCTGGTAAGTTTTTATTTTATATTAATTATGAGAAATAAAGAAAAGATGTGCACATTATATGTCCTTCAATAGAACCACGCCCAGGTAAAAGTTTAGCTAGTGTCTTCTACAACTAAAATAATAATGTGAAAGAAACTAGACAGTACAAATCTAAATCTAAAATTAAATTGGAATTTTTTTCAATTTACAATGCTTAAAATGAACTGCAAAACACAAAAAAAAACGCCTAATACTAATCAGACACCATTGGAGAGAAAATCATTCCACTTATAAATGATTCATTAACTAAGCTTCATTAAGTAATTCATTTCATACGTAGTTTAGTTTTTCTTACACTAAAAAAGTATAACACCACTAAAATAACCTTATTTATATCTTTATATGGATAATTAAAAAAAAACTTGAAATTTTAAGAAAGAAAAGTTGAAAATGAGGAAGAGGAGGGTGGAATTGAATTCATTAGACGCTTCCTTCCTGATTATTTATATTAAGATTTAGCATAATATAAAATGTTTAGAAATATATATGTAAAACTTGGGCACTGTGGTAATAAGTAATTCCATATTAGTTTGTTTATTAGATGTGTTACACATTGAAACAGTATTATTTACTGGATGACGTTTCGAACAAGATTTATTGTTCATAATCATATCAATTATAATCATATGACATCGAAACTTCAGTTTTATAGTTTTCTTTGTTTTCTCCTATTTCTCGTATGGGTAGTAGAATTCTTCAGATATTAGGGACAGGTGATGAATCATTCCTATTACATGTATTTGCAGTTGATTCGATAATCAAAGCTTCTTTTATCAATCTCTCCCTCCACCCTGCTATTACATTAGATTTGAAAACTGTCATCTTATCCCATCATCCTATTGTATGGTTGCGTGCAACTGCATGCAGTGAGTGCTATAGCTGAACTATTCTCTAGACTTCTTATCTTATTTGGGTCAAATAATCTAGATTTTGCTAGGTTTTTATGCTCGGCTAGTCTGACTGCCCTGTTCTACTAGTTTGACCAATGTATTTGACCTGACAATCATTGCAGGTAGGGTATTAGATAAACTAAATTGTTTTGTTTTAAAGGCTCCACAGGGTCCTTTAACTGACTAGGCATGTTTCTAATTGAGTTTTTGGGTTTGAATGTCAGCCACCTTTATTCCTGCCTTGTTAAGAATTCTTCGTAAGGTTTTCGAGGTTCCTTCCTTGTATGGAATTACTACTGATGATTTAGATTCCTTATTGTTGATGTCGTCACTAATATTATTTCATACATTTATTCTCCCTAATGAATTTGAATAAAGCAAGAACTACAGTTTTAGCAGAATAAAATGGTACCATCTTTTATTTCGTTGCCTTCTCGTCAGCTGCTTACATGGCAAAGACATTATTAAATATATCTACAACAACAATTTTAACATACTTGCACAGAGTTCAGTTTAAACAAAAATCAATCGATCAATATACTCATACACTAAAAATATATACATATATAAATATGCAATATTAACCACTATTCCGAACAATAATAATCAAACACAATGGAAACTTTTAGCATTTCACATTCGGAGGAAAGAGAGGTGAAATTATCCAGTTACCAGGGCAAAGAAAGGCTGATAACCGCTTCTTTCTGGACGCATAAATCAGGTTTCAGGCGCTTGATGGAAATGGCTTCAGCAAACTTAAGGAGAATTGAGCTATTTTGCTTATTGATAATTTTGAACGACTTTTCAACGTCCACCTCATGACCCGTGTCGAGAAGATGCCTGGTGATGGCACTGTTTAAAGCATTTGTTCCCTTTAGACGTAAGCTTTTTGGTACATGTTCAGAAAATCGTAGATATGCCCTTCTTTCTGTCCTTCCAATGTAACTGCTCCCGCAGATACATGTAAATTTGTATACACAGTTGGAGGTAACATGAGAAGGATATCTATCGATTTTTGATTGCACCAAAGAGCAAGTTGTTCGATAGACGGGAACGAGCTTAGCTGCAGGATACGCTATGGCTAGTGATGTACTCAGCCTTCTGTTGATCATCGCTGCAATATTTTCACCTTTATAATCAAGCTGAAGGTAGACTGGCTTTTTTTCCACTGTGATTTGTTTTACATTTGTGACTTCAGATCTTCCATACTTGTTGATGAACCTTTGAGGATACCCATTTCTCTTCAATATATTTTCAAGGAACTCAAACTCCTCCTCTAGTTTCTCTTTAGAGCATATTCTCCTCGCTCTATAGTACAAAGTTTTGACTAGACCACGTTTAAAGCTATGTGGACAAAAGCTATTAAAATGCAAGTATTGTCCTTTCCATGTGGGCTTTCGATAAATTGACTTTTGAAGACTACCGTCTTCTAGGCGTTCCATGGCTATGTCGAGGAAGTGAAACTTTCCGTCACTTTCGTGTTCCATAGTGAAGTCAATATTGGCGTGTGCACCATTGAATAATCTTAGTAAGTGTGAAGCATGACTTTTATTTTTGCACACTATAAATGTGTCATCAACATAACGACAGTAGGAAGATGTTTCGTCGATTGCATGCTTCAGCTTTGTTCTTTCAAGGTTAGACATGAATATATCTGCTAAAACAGGGCTAAGTGGACTGCCCATAGCTACACCATCTATTTGGCGGTAAAAGGTGTTGTCAAATAGGAATTGCACATCCATGGTGCACATAAGCAGTAGGCGTTTGAATTCAGACTCTGGGAGTGGGAGAAGATCGGACTGCTGACAGATGATTTCAATGGTTTCATTGACTGGAATCATTGTGAATAGGGAGGTTACATCAAATGACACCATGAAGTTATTTAGAACGTTCATGTGATTCACACTTTCAGAGAAATGAAATGAGTCTTTCACCGTGTGCACGCCTAGCCGTTGACGAATAGGTTCCAACTTCTCCGCAAGCCAACGTGCCACCTTATGTTGGGGCGAGTTGATCATCGAAAGTATGGGTCTCAGGGGGACTTGTTCTTTGTGTATCTTCGGAAGGCCATACATGTGTGGCAAGCGGGACCCTCGGGTTTCAAATCATTGTACGTGTTGTTGTCAATCAATTTCTTCTTTAGAAGATCTCTCAAGGCGTTTGTGATACGTTTTTCGACTGCATCTGTCTTATCTTTCTGGCAACTGTCAACTTTAAATCTCAACGGGTCATTTAGCACAGCTTTCATCTTTGCGATGTAGTCCTCTTTGTCCATCAGCACCACACCTGAGCCCTTGTCAGGTCTCAATATAACAATTTTGTCATTATTCTTGAGAGCTTTCAATGCTCTTAGATGCTCTTCAGAAAAGACTTTGGAATATGACATTGGAGAAATGAGGTATTGATTTGCAACGTCGACGAGCTTCGATTTGAACCAGCTCCTCTTGTCATCATCAACTGGAGTGAGGTCACTCAACTGATAGAATAAGTTTTCGAATTGAACTGCGACATCAGTTCTTTCGACAAACTTATTTGGGATGTGAAAGTTAAATCCAAGAGAAAGTGCTTCCATTTCAATGCGATTTAACTTCAGACTCGACAGATTACAGATAAACTCCTCAGGATTTTCTGGGAAAACGTCACACAATTTCTCCTTTGTCAGGGATTTCGAAAGAGTTTTGTAAAAATTTTCACATGTTTTCTGTTGAAGTCCTTGGATGAAATTGATGAATTTGATCCGACATACTATACTCAAACTATTGACGACGCCATCGAAAGAACGGGCTTCAGTTCTCAATTTAGAAATCAGAGATTCTGTTGATTCAATATGTGATTTTGTAATGCGCCGGAGATTCTTGAGAGATGGGGGTAATTTACAAGGACTCAGTGACTTCATGAGATGACGAGGAAAGCAGTGTGACCGCAAGCAGTCATGTTAAATCTTCAATCGAGTCACCTCTCTTGATGTTCTGCACCGAATTGTCACCAAACGATAATTTCACCTCTCTTTCCTCCGAATGTGAAATGCTAAAAGTTTCCATTGTGTTTGATTATTATTGTTCGGAATAGTGGTTAATATTGCATATTTATATATGTATGTATATTTTAGTGTATGAGTATATTGATCGATTGATCTTTGTTTAAACTGAACTCTGTGCAAGTATGTTAAAATTGTTGTTGTAGATATATTTAATAATGTCTTTGCCATGTAAGCAGCTGACGAGAAGGCAACGAGATAAAAGATGGTACCATTTTATTCTGCTAAAACTGTAGTTCTTGCTTTGTTCAAACTAATATCATTATTATCACTATTATTATTGTTATCATTATTATTATCACTATCGCTACTATCATTATTTATTTTATTTTTACATTTCCTTACATATTTCCTGACTAATTTATCCGGGTAATTATTGAGTTTCAAGGCAAACGCGTGTTGTAGGAACGATTCAACAACTGTCCCAAATATCTGGAAAACTCTACTACCCCAACGGCGACAAATAGGAGAGAATAAAAAAAAATATAAAACTATATAAGGTTTCGAAGTCGTGTGATTATAGTTGATATGATTATGAACAATAAATTTTGTTCTGAATGTCATCCAGTAAATAATACTGTTTCTCCACTGTGTGATACGTTTAATAAACAAACCAATATGGAATGCCTAGAAATGTTTGGGTGCATTTATGCGAAATGAATGCATCGGTTTCATTTTTGATTTATAAGTTAAAGAGTGAAGGGGATCTAAAGCCGCTTTCTTTACTCCTTATCAATATAAACTATGGTGAACAAATTTTAGTAGGAAATATAAAAAGCCTATTACAATACTATGATTCAGTTAAGTTACGAGTGGGATATACGGATTCAATAGCATATCTCCATTTTATCCCATTTTCTGCAGTCCTCTTTAGGGGGCTCCAGGATTGCATATGAGCTCTCATTTCCTCCTCACACGATGTCCTCCACGTTACAATCAGACGCCCAACTTCTCATTTTCCATTCGGGTTCCACTTGAGGGCTTTGCTCCATAGGCTTATGAGTATGCGTCCGATCTATCTCCATTTTCTTTTAAATATTTGTTGGGAAAATAGGTTCTTGATTGGTTTATTCCCAGAGGTTCCTATCGCTTATGCTTTCTCGCCATAAGATCTTAAATATCGACTCAGTGAAAGCAGATGTTGATGAAAGTCTGCGACATCCTGTCAGAAATGCACATCAAGTCTCTGCCTTTCTACAGAAGTACTGACCTGACAGTAGTTTTGATAACCTGAATGTTGTTCCTCACAGAGATTCCAGGAGACTTTCACATTGATTTCAAAATAATGAGGGCCTGCCATACCTTTCTGGTACAGCTTTTCACATTCTTATCCATATCATCTGTGATTGAGACGATGCTGTTTAGATAAGTGAGAGAAGTAACATCCTTCAAATTTCTTCCTTTGATAGGGATTGCTACTTGTTATTATTTCCGTCTCTGTAGTCAATGGGTTGATTCTCCGTGGCAGAGTCTCTGACTCCATGCTCACCCTTCTTTCTCACTTATTAATATATATATATATATATATATATATATATATATGCGACTTATACCGTATGATTATCAGTCTATATATTCAGTATATTTACTCCTAACCAATATTTTATTTTATTTATTTATTTTTGATTTATAGCTTGATTCCACACTGTATTTTTGATAAAAGTGTAGAATTTTCAGCATGGATATCGGTAGCCCAAATTTTGCAAACCGACCATAGATATCAGGTATGCAGTGGCGTGGGCTCGAACCCCAGACCATGTGCATGGTCGGCGAGAGTCCTAACCACTGTGCCACCGACGCATTGAGCATTGGACAACACTTTTCATGGAATTTAGACAGTAAAGTACGCACTAAAGTGTATCTCAGTGTTCAGTTGTACATCGAAAATCAGTTTGAGATCATAAAGCTTAGACAAAAACAATTACGGCTAAAAAATAGAGTCAAGTTTTTTCTAATTTTCTTTATTCTCATTGTTTTAAGTATCGTGATATTTACAGTTCTCATGATTTCAGACGCAACATTTCCATAACGTCATGGAATCATGGGTATGTTGCAACAAATTCTGATAATAACACACCCAACTAAATCGCTTAATATTAGGTGGTATTTTGGTCATTTTATTTTACTTCATCTGGGTTTTTCGTATAACTCTACAGTGTATGTTTACAAACAAGTAAATCACACGCCGACTTACTGCGAAGAAATTATCTGAGTAGCAACAGAATGTTACTATCTTAATAACTTGGAGGACGTAAGTGGAAATGAAAAGATTAAATAAAGTTAATTAAATCAGAGATCTTGAGTTGTTGTATATCGTTTTCCTTTGTTATGTTGACTTCGATAACCAATGAGTGAAAATACCTATCTACTAAAATATGAAACATCACTTCAAATACTTTGAATGAATTCAACCACTGAGTTAAGAGTAGTTTTATCACGGAAATACATTGAACAGAGTAGAAGGACAGTGCAACAACCACCTTGCTTTGTATCCACAAATTCACTTGAAGTTGCGGTTAAACTTATGTAAGTAGACTCAACAGAATTTTCTAGAGACGTAGGAAAAGACATATTGTCTCGAAAAAAACAAATTAGGCATTGGGACGTGAAATGTTCGCACGCTTAACGAAGCTGGGAAGGCTATCTAGGTTACCAAACAAATGAGAAGATATGATAAGGGCCCTTGATTCATTACTCAAATCATCAAAATTGTATGAGGAAACACAGGAAGAAATATGCCAAACAATTGCACCATTGGTCAAATAGAAAAAAACAGCACACACAACTCAACTCTCAATAACTAGAGGCCCTAAAAAAGCTGAAAAATAGGCGGGACATCGTCATTCTACCAGCCGACAAAGGAAGAACAACAGTAATTATGGACAGGGAAGAATACACCAAGAAAGCAGAAGAAATACTCATAGACGAGAATGTGTATGAACAACTCCCAGCAAATCTCATATGAACATTAGACAACCGCATCCAAAGGACCTTAAACAAGCTCACCAAAACTGGACAGATGACAAAACAAGACCAATGGTGAATGAAATCCAGTGTACCAGTCCTACCCCGACTCTACGGCAGACCCGAAATATACAAACCAAATATCCTGTTACGACCAATTGTATCACTCCCAGGAACTCTAATATATAACTTATTCAAAGTATTATACAGAAAACTAAAACACCTGACGGAATCTTGTGATCACTCCATCAACTCTGCTACCCAATTCCTGGAGAAAATCAGAGACATCCAAATAGATGAACAAGATATAATGATATCCTTCGACGTCACAGCATTTTATACCACAATCGGACAGAAACTAGCAAAAGAAACCATGGAGCGATTACTTAACTGCCAATATCAGGTTTGATTGCAGAAGCAGTGATGAAAAGGCTCGAAAACATAATTATATCAAAGATCGAACCCAAGATTTGGATAAGTTATGTCGATGACACATTTGTAATGATCAAAAGAAACAAGTTAGATAAAATTCACAACTTGATAAACAACGTCTTCAACAGCATCAAGTTCACAAGAGAAGAGGAATCCGAAGACCAAATCTCATTTCTGGACGTCTCAGTCGGGCGAACAACCACAGGGAATTAGAAACTGAAGTGTATAGAAAATCAACTCACATAAACCAAATCCTGAATTACGACAGCAACAATCCAACAACGCACAAAAGGAATTGCATACAAACACTATTCAGGGGGCAAGGACTCATCGCAGCACTCCCACCTTAAGGAAATTTGAAGAAAGATATCTCATGGACGTCTTCCAAAAGAATGAATATCCGCGGAATTTCATCAAAAGTCATATACCCCAAAGCCAGCCGATCAGACCGAAAGCCCTCAAGGAAGGCACAAAGAAAATCGCCTTGCCATATATAAAGGATATCTCAAAAATCATTAGAAGACTCTTCAAACCTTTAGAAATTGACGTCGTGCACAAACCAACAAAGTCACTTCACTCAATTCTATGTCAACCAAAAGACTCAACAGCGAAAGAAGATAAAACCAACATCATCTACAAAATAAATTGTAACAGCTGCGGAAAACACTACATTGGCCAAAGTTGACATCCCCTTCGTCTTCGTATCCACGAACATAAGCTAGCCGTCAAAAGACATGATATCCACTCCTTCACTCATTTCACCACGCACAGATAACCATGGACATCAATTCGACTGGGACAACCAGCGTTCAAACATTAGACAGAGGAAACAACAAGAATGCTGGAGAATTTTTAGAAGCTTGTCATTCCAGTGAGTTATCAATCAATAGACACATAGAAATAGACAAAATTTATCAACTGATAAGAAAGAAACCTCACACACAAAGGGTGAAAGTTCAAGTCAAAGAAACAGTCAGTTCCAA